AAAAACAAAAGAAAATATTTATTTATTTATTTATTTATTTATTTATTTATTTATTTATTTATTTATTTATTTATTTATACCCCGCCTATCTGGACTACTCGTCCACTCTAGACGGCTTCTAATATAAGATAAAACAATAAAACACAAGAATATATATAATCCTTCAATTTAAAGTGGAAAGCCAGGAGGATGGAAACGGGGGGTGGACCTCCTTCAAAGACGATATTTAAAAACTACAAACAATTTATTTGTTATTTGAATTTGTACCCGCTGCCCTCTGGCAACCAGGCCACTCTGGCTGGCTAACAACAGTGTGAGCAATTAAAAGACGATGAAAATAAACTAATATATAGCCAAATAGGGTAAATTAAAACAGATGGCAGGGGAGGTGGTGAAAAGGGGTGATGGAGAGGATGGCAAAAAGGATGGTAAAAAGGGGAGGGTGAGATCTTAGTGCTCCGGGAAATCCTGATGGAAGAGCCAAGTCTTCCCTGCTTATTTGAACCCATCCAGCGAGCAAGCCAGGTGAATCTCAACGGGCAGGTTGTTCCACAGGCGACCCCACCGAGAAGGCCCGCTTTCTTGCTGTTTTCCTCCAGGTCTCCTTTGGAGTCAAGGCCCTCAACCGCCCTGCCTGCAAAGAATGGGTATTACGGACAGATCTGGCTGAGAACAGGCGTTCTGATAGATGCCAAGATCCTAAACCATTTAGGACTTTGAATGTTATCATCATAACCTTGAGGTCAATGCAGAAACGAACGGGTAGCCAATGAAGAGTGGCCAGAGTGAGGGAGATGTGCTGGTAGTCTTTTCTTGAGATTACGAGTGCATGAATCAGCATCGTGAGTGTCCCCGCCTCTAGATAGGGATGCAGCTGGGCAATCCTCTGAAGATGGAAATGGGCTGCCCGGACCACATATGCCACCTGAGTTTTCATGGTGACACCCAGGTCCAGGCAGATGCCCAAGCTCCCCCCGAAGGAGAGGGAGTTTCCCAACCCACTGAATGCCAGGGCCACCCATGTGCAAGATTTCCGTCTTGTCTGGATTCAACCTCAGTCCGTTTGCCCTCATGCACCCCAGGATGGTCCCCAAGCAAGGGCTTAAATAGTATCCAAAAGATTTCCGTCTTGTCTGGATTCAACCTCAGTCCGTTTGCCCTCATGCACCCCAGGATGGTCCCCAAGCAAGGGCTGAAATAGTATCCAATGCAGCTGGAAAAAAGGAGAGGTAGAGCTGGGTGTCATCAACATACTGATGGCACTGGGCCCCACAGCTCCGGATGACATCACCCAGCGGCCTTATATAGATATTAAAAAGCACTGGTGAGATGATCGACCCCTGTGGAACCCAACAATTGAGGATCCACAGGGTGGAAGTCATCTTACCAAGCTGTCCTCTCTTGGGATGGTCATCCAAGAAGGAACGGAGCCACGTCAAAGAAAGGCCACCGATCCCCAGCTAGGAGACCCACCCCAGGGGAACACTGTGGCCGGCGATATGAAAGGCCACTGAGATACTGAGGAGGACCAACAAGGACATACAGTGGTGCCTCGCTAGACGATGATAATCCGTTCCACTGAAATCGCTGTTTAACAAAATCGTCATCTAGCGAAAAGCATTTCCCCATTGGAATGCATTGAAATCTGTTGAATGCGTTCCAATGGGGAAGAATCATCGTTGTCTAGTGAAGATCGGCCATAGGAAAGCCGCTTTGCGAACCGCCGATCAGTTGTTTAAATAGCTGTCTTGCAAAGCTTAGGTCCCCAAAACACCCGTTTTGCGAGCATGGAGGGAGCTGTCAAAATTGTTGTCTAGCAAAAATTGGTTTGCAAAGCAGGGACCAAACATTGTCCAGGGAAATTCCCCCATAGGAATCACTGTTTTGCGAATCGCTATAGCGATCGCAAAACGCCAATGTCTAGTGAAAAACTGTCATGTGGTGTAACTGTCTAGCGAGGGACCACTGTAAAGTTAAGTTACAATTTTTTAAAAAAAGAACAGCATTCAGGGACTCCGTTGCGATTGTTAGAAGCCTGTCTGAAGAGGTGGGTCTTCTGCTGTCAGTGGAAGAATAAAATATTTGATTCCCTTGCAAATGTGAAACTCTCTCACACACACCCGTTCTCACCCTTTGGGGCTCAGCCAGGAGAGGAAGCCTTAAACCCCATAATCTGGCCGGGGGGGGGGGCTTTGTGGCATTTCATCCCCTTCCCATCTTACATAGAAGCTGGCTTTCATTTTGCAATGAAAAAGGGGAGAAATGATGTAGGAATTCATCGGGCAGCCTGCTGTTCTAGGTTTCTGTGGGTGAGACTGTTTCAGTTTGAAGAAGAATCAACGTTGAAGAGTCTTCTCTCCTGACGACCACCCTCTTCTCTTGCAGCCTCCCGCGGGGTCCAGGAGGGATCCAGGGGCGACTTTTGGAGCAGCAGACCAGGTCCGGGAAGATACTCCAGATTACCAGCATGGACCGTTTTTCCTACAATTTGCCACCACTCAGGTTCTGCTGCCTGAGACAAGAGCCTCCACCTGCCTAACGATAGGGCCAGCCACCATTCTCCACCTGTGTGTGTTGCAGTGGGACTGGCTGATACGCAAGGTTTGGTGCATTGGGATCTTTGACTGTGACTTTTCCCCTTGAAATAATTTCCCAAACCAGATTTAATTTTCTGCATGTTTTGCTTTTATATTTTTAGTATTTAAAATTGTTCTAAACTGTTTATAAACTGAGAATGAGTTGATCTTGTGTTGCTTGGATCAGGGTATGGCAGAATTTTAAAATTCATATTAATTAGGTTCAAGCAAATTTAAAATGTTGAAATAATTAAAACCGTTTTGACTGGAAGCGGGCTAATTCAGTAGCGTTATCTCAGCCAACTGCTGGATCTCCTTCTGTCCATGCTATGGGGCATGAATTGCATGCACAGAAGTTCAGCATGGATTGAATTTTTCTGCACTGATTGAAAAATTGTCCTGTATTCAAGTTAGTCCAGTTTTACTTGATTTGGGGCCCCCACTCATTGTTGGAGTGTCTTTCCCCCATGACATCTGCCCAAACCATTAGATCATCACAAGTAAGCCTCCTTCAGGGGGCCACCCCGAAGGGGGCCCGTACATCATCTCCTAGAAGCAAGGCCTTCTTCATGGCGGCCCCTTCCCTGTGGACATTCAGGAGACAACTAAAGACATGGCTTTTCAGGGAGGCATTCCCTTTCGTCCGTCATTTTGTTATTCTATAGTTTTAGTGCCATCTGGTTTCCTTGCTTAGGTGTTACTTTGGTTTAAATAATTCTATTTTGGTTTGGTTTGTTTATTATTGTAAACCACCCAAAGTAATGCTTTGCCACTTATGGGGAGCGGTATACAAATTTCAGTAATAAATAAATAATCCCCCCCCCAACCCTTGTTCTTCCTAGGTACAGGTTCCCCTTGACGTGTAGTCCAGTTGTGTCCGACTGTAGGGCGTGGTGCTCATCCCCATTTTCAAGCCATAGCACCATTGTTTTTGTCCGTAGACAGTTTCCGTGGTCACGTGGCCAGCACGACTAGACACGGAATGCTGTTAACTTCCTACCATGGTGGTACTTATTTATCTACTTGCATTTGCATGCTTTCGAACCGCCAGGTTGGCAGGAGCTGGGACGAGCGACGGGAGCTCACTCCGTCGCGTGGATTCGATCTTACGACGGCTGGTCTTCTCCCCTTGCAGCACGGAGGCTTCTGCGGTTTAACCATCAGCGCCACCAAATCCCTCCTTGTTCTTCCTAAATTGATTCAAAATCTATTAAGTGACTTCCAGGTGGTCCACCCAGAATCTTGTCCAGGTAGGATACACTCTTTAGAATTAACTCATTCAGCAAGATCTGAACAATGTCATGACTTTTTAATACTGCAATGAACTTACTGAATTATTATTAGTAGTAGTAATAGCAGTAATCTCACTCCCTTGGAATTACAGGCAAGACTGTATACAGAGAAGATTATGAAGACAGTTTCTGATCCGATGGAACCAGTGAGAGTGTGTGTGTAGGAAACAGCTTTTGCAATCCAGCCTGCATTTCCAAGGACCAGTGAGTTTACAAGTGGCTGGTTTTTTAAAACTGATTTTAGTTATTTAGTTATTTTTATTACTTCTATACTGTCTTTATCCTGAAAAGTTGGAACAAGTTCAGAGCAGGTTTACAAGGGTGATCAGGAGGCTGGAAAACCAAGCCTTATGAGGAAAGGCTGAAAGAATTGATCTTGTTTAGCCTTGAGAAAAGAAGACTGAGGGATGATAGGATAGCACTTTTCCAATATTTGAAAGGCTGTCATCCAGAGGAAAGGCTGAATCTGTTCTCGATGATCCCAGAGTGCAGGGCACGCAACCATGCGTTCAAGTTAAAGGAAGCCAGATTTTGGATGAATAGCAAGAAAAACGTCCTGACTGTTAGAGCAGTATGACTAGTGGAGTGCTTCAACGTTGGAGGCGTTCAAGAAAAAACTTGGATAATCACCTGGCAGATCTGTTTTGATTTGTATTCCTGCGTTGAGGGGGTTGGACTTGATGGCCTTGTAGGCCCCTTCCAACTTCACTTTTCTAGGATTCTATAAAGGAACTTGCAGTGTTTAAAATAGAGTATATTAAATAAATAAACAAGTAAGTAAATAAATGAATGAATGAATAAATAAATAAATATTACAGTATATTTACAATTTTACCATTTTTAAAAACAATTACATCACTATTGAATTAAAGCTGGTAAATTTTAAATAATTTAAGCAATTAGGCATTTTTTTAAAAAAATATTAAAATACATAAAGTTTAAAAGTCTCCTTCCCCAGGCAGCCAGTTACAGGCCTGTTTGAAGAAGAAGGTCTTATTTGCCTGCTGGCAGAAGGAGAGCAAAGATGGGGTCAACCTGGCTTCCAGTGGGAGGGAGTTCCATAGTCTCTGGGAGCAGCCCCCAAGAAGCCCTGTGTTGTGAGGGTGGCGGGACTGGCAGAAAGGCTTCTTCTGAGGATCCTAAAAGCAGATGAAGCTCATAGATAGCAATGCAGTCTTTCAGATAGCTCAGACCCAAGGTGTTAAGAGGGTTTTTATAAACAGCCCTTTGAAATGGTTACTTCCCACAAAGTGTGCATTGTTGACTCCGTGCAGAGCACAAACCTGCCTCGTTCTCTTTGTCCCTGGCTATCCCGGTTAAAGGAAACTACCCTATAATAAGTAGACGGGAGGTCCTTCTTATTCAAATCTTGCTGCAGTTCTGGATCCCATTCCCAACCATTACACGACGTTGAAGAAATGGCTACAATATGGGAGGAATATGGGTTTGCCATTCCTGACCACAGACACATCCCTCCACACACCTCAGTTTCACTCACCTTGAACAGGCCCTGTCTTCCAGGTGGTGATAAATGCTCACACCCTTCTTACGTAATGCAGTAACTAGACAACCACGAATACAAGCAGCTCTCCTTTATTAAAAAGCACTTCCGAACTGGGAGGGCACACCCATTAATACAGGTTGCATGATCTACTCCCGGCCGCAGGAATGTTTCCCCATTGGTCAGATTCTTCAAGGTGTACGACCTATCTGGATCATGTGAAGTCCTACCCCTGTTTGGCTCTCCCATTCCCCATATTAACTAGACCCCGGACTTCTGTTTATTTTCCTCCTTATTTGGTCCACGTTCCCCTTTCCTTAACCTTTTTGCAGTCATTCTTACTGACCCATTAAGTTTCTTCATTATTAGCTAGGCCTACCCATTCAACCTTTTCGTCGAACAATAAGGGGCCTCCCCTTTGCTGTACTTTCCTCTCATAATTTCTCAAGACTTGCCTACATTCCATATGTCGGCTAAATAATTAACAAAGAATAAATAATTAACAAAGAGTATTTTACCATGACCATTTACCCCATCATCCCGTCCTTGAAGGGACTTGCAAAAGCAGCCTTTCCCTTCCTCCTTTTCTCTCAAAGTGGTATCAGAATTTTTGCTTCCTCTAAAGGAAACCCTTCCAGTCCTTCCTGCTAAGCGCAGTTTGTTTGTTGTTGTTGTTGTTTTAGGTTGGTGCAATCTTTCCGTCCAGTAGTAGGGACGGGGTTTTCTGATTTCTTTGACCACATATTGCACAATTATTCACTCTGGGAGTTCTGCCTGACCAGACAGACACCTTCCAAACACCAAAAATGTAGCTCACCTGGGTGAAGGGCCTCAACCGGAAGGCTTTAAGGCCTAGCTAGGCTTAACTCTGCCCATCAGGAAAAAAATAATCTAAGAAAAGCACAGCAAAACACAAAATCTGAACAGCAGACAGAAACAGCAGTGGTAATATTTTTCAAAAATATTATTTTGGATGTCGCAAGAAAGCAAAGGGAAGAACTGGTGGCTAAAAGATCACAAAAATAAAAACATCCCGGCAGACAACCCAAAGACCAATGGAAAGCTTATCCCCTGTCCCAATATCAAGCAAAACTACCCCATTGCCTGTAGAGATTGGTTCATGTTTTAAATCTGTGTTTCTTCCGCTACTGTTGTAGGAAGCAGACAGCAGTTGGAAATCCCCTCACAAAGAAGGCAGGAAGGCAGGCACTGCTAGGCAAAAATGATCTATTTTGTTTTTAATTTTACCTATATTTCATATCAACATGAATTTGACTCAACTCCGGGAGGCAGTGGAAGATAGGAGGGCCTGGCGTGCTCTGGTCCGTGGGGTCACGAACAGTTGGACACAATGACTAAACAACATGACATAAATAAAGAAGGATCTAGCTAGCTAGCTAGCTAGCTATCATCTTTCTCCCAACAAGGTTTGTGACCCACAGTGGCTCATAAATGAAACTTTACAATCATGAAAACTAAAAATGCTGACAGAAATTATAATAATAAAAAAAGCAAACCTCTATCAATATTGAAATGTTATAAAAAATATTTTTAAAACATGTTAAAAATCTCCACATATGGTAAATACAGTGAAACAGATCAAAACAGATTTAAATTTTTTAAGGTGAGATGGTAGTGTGTTCCAAAGGATGACGTAGGATTCAGCCTCTCAAAATAATCAAAACGCAAAACCTTCAGGATGAAGCTAATCACCTTTAATTGTTGTTTAATATTTGTGCTTACCAACTAGTCAAATGTGCTTCTATTGATTCTCATTTTTCTCTATTAGGTAAAGAGCAGAATTATGTGGAGAAGCCCGTGATGTCACTGGGGGGGAGAGAGACAACTTTATAATAGGTGAGGAAAAGGTAGGAGTAAAAGGCGCAAAGGACACAGAACACAGATGGGAAAGAAGAAATCCACGAAGCTGCTGGTGAGCATGAACATGTCATACGCAACGTCAGAAAACTCGTATTTGAGAAGAGGGGGATGAAATGTTCCAACTTACTGCAGACTTCTTATAGGGGAGAAACCACATAAACCCATGGCTTGCAGAAGGGATGCCAGTGTGAGCAGTAGCCAAAGAACGGAGACAGAGGAGAAACCCTATAATTGTAGTGAGTGCGGGAAGAGCTTCGGTCTGAACAGTCAGCTCTCGGTGCACAAAAGAACCCACACAGGGGAGAAACCTTACAAATGCATGGAATGCGGGAAGAGTTTCCAGCAAAGCAGTAACCTCTCTTCCCACCTGCGCATCCACACTGGCGAGAAACCCTACAAATGTCCAGAATGTGGGAAGAGCTTCCACTGTAGAGGGTCGTTTACTAAACACCAGAGAACCCACACGGGAGAGAAACCATATCAGTGCACAGAGTGTGGGAAGCGATTCAGTGAAAGCTGCAATCTTACCCTGCATGAGCGAACCCACACTGGAGAGAAGCCCTATACGTGCCTGGAATGTGGGAAAAGCTTCAGCAACAGCGCAGCCTGTGCCAACCATCAAAGAACCCACACGGGGGAGAAACCCTACAAATGCATGGAATGCGGGAAGAGCTTCAGCGTGAGCCTTTACCTCACTCGTCATGAAAGGACCCACACAGGAGAGAAACCATACAAATGTGTGGAGTGTGGGAAGAGCTTTAACAGGAATGATAAGCTGACATCGCACAGAAGGACCCACACGGGGGAGAAACCCTATAAATGCACGGAGTGTGGGCAGGGTTTCAGTCAGAGGAGTTCCCTCGCATGTCACCAGAGGACCCACACGGGGGAGAAACCCTACAAATGTCTGAAATGTGGGAAGAGCTTCCGTCAGAACGTAACGCTCCATTCCCACGAAAGAATACACACAGGGGAGAAACCCTATAAATGTCCAGAGTGCGGGAAAAGCTTCACAAACAGCGGCGCTTACACCAGCCACCAGCGAACGCACACGAGGGAGAAACTGTACAAGTGCCTGGAATGCGGGAAGAGCTTCAGTGTGAGCAGCATGCTCATTCGGCATAAAAGGACCCACACGGGGGAGAAACCCTATCGGTGTTTGGAGTGTGGGAAGAGCTTCAGTCAAAGCAACTCTCTCTCCTCCCATCAAAGGATCCACACGGGGGAGAAGCCGTACAAATGCGTGCAGTGTGGAAAGAGCTTCACGGACAGTAGGACACGGAGTAAACACCAGAGAATCCATAAAGGGCAGAAACCCACATAAATATCTGGGCTGAGTAAGGAGCTTCTGAGTGAAAAAGAAAGGAATTAAAATGCACGGAATGTGGAGAGTACCCCAGTGGTGGCAAAACATTGACTAAATATCACATGACTGGCAGAAGTGTCGCTTATTAAGTTGCTCTCGTTATTTCTCTCTTTTTTGCGTGCATGTATGAAAATTCAAGAATATGTATATAATGCACGTATACATGTTCCCCTCCTGCATTTAAAGGGAGACAAAATGATGTATGTGTGATAAATTCAAAAATGGCGTGATCCTTGTACATAATGGGGCAATCCTTTTATGAGACCAGTGGTTCCCAACCTTGGGTGCCCAGATGTTCTTCCACTGCAGAAATCCTGGCCAGCATAGCTCATGGCGAAGGTTTCTGGGAGTTGCAGTCCAAGAATGTCTGGGGACCCAAGGTTGGGAGCTACTTTATTAGACCACTAAAAATAAATAAGTGTCTCAAACAGGTTTTGAGTTCTGCTGGGCTCTTTCAGATATCTGTAGTGGCCTCGTTAAGGTAAGAATCAACCTTGTTTTCTAAAAGGTCTTGCAAAGATTTAATGCATTCAGCTGAGAAAACAAAGTTTACCTGGGAGGGAGCAGGGCAGCATCTGAAATTGTGGGCATTCCAGCAGTTTCCCTCTCTTTATTTTGGGATAAACATCAACCCTTTCGAGTTTTCAGTTTTACTTTTTAAGTGACATAATTGCTAGGAAGTCTGCTTACACCATTTGGTGCAATTCTCGCCTCCAAATGGCATCTGGATCTCAAGCAATCCTACTTGGTCCCCAACAGCTTGCTGTCAATTGGCCAGTAACCTAAAGTGGTTTAAGAAGAGAGCCATCTCAGGATATTAAACACTTAAACGTTGTAAAACGTGTATTAGGTATGTATATTACAAGTTAGTTATGCAAATTAGACATGAGTAAACCTAATACACACACCTACTATTCTCAAGGTCTGGTTGAGAGCCAGATGCAATCAAGAGTCTGCCCACAGCCAAATATGGCAGCTTTAAGACAAAGGGGAAAAAAAGAATAAAATATTTTTTATGAATGATGCAGAACATTTTTGCTACCCTAATGGAGCGTAAATTGGTTTTTCAGTTCCTCTGCCCCTTCACTGAGGAGCAGAGGAAGTACTGAATAAGCCATCATATTGGCAAATTAAAAGAGGAGGTCTTTTGGTTTGTTCCCAGTGAGCACACTGCCTGGAAATGAACTAAACCAGAGCAATACTAATCGTGCCAAAAAAGTAGAAGCCCCTGAAAGGGGCGGGTAGAAGTACTTGGGGCTGCCTGGTTGGCTCCAGCACAGACGACTGCTCACTCTCTTTAGGAAGGAACCCCACCCGTCTCTGCGGTGAAAGAACCAGCAAGCTAAATGCCCATGTCGTTAGCCTCTCAAGTCATTTTGAGACCTGAGAGAGTAGACCAGCAGTTCAGGGCTTGATCTCTGAATCTCAGTTACAAGAGAGTCACTGAATCAGCGGCAGTGAGACTAATTGTTATGTACCCTCTCTGTGTGTCAAAATTTATCTTGATGTAACCTGACCAGGACAGATTTGTGAGTAGCCTCCATCACAGGTGGGCAAAGTCCATGTGGTTCCCTCAAGCTTTTTAACCCCTCACAAAGCCTCTTAT